CACACACACACACACACACACAAACACACGCACGCACACACACACACACACACACACACACATATTTTCTCTGTCCATCTCCCAAATGTAAAATTTATTGCCACTCATATTCCTTCATTTTGACATTATTATATTATTGTATTCTACATGTATTATCAAAATACACACCGCGGTGCCCATTTAAGATAAAAGACGGACGTAATATGAACACATAGCACTATTATGGAAAAAAAATGACTCTGAATGTGCTGGCAATAGCAGAAACGGCTTATCTGATTTAGAGTTAAACCTACTATCTTTTCTTAGGTGAAAATGATCAAACGTTATTTCGGGTTTTTTTTTTGTTTGAAAATCAGAGACCTAAAAGTCATATAAAAAAGAGCCCCCAACCCACCCCCCCAACAAAACAAACAACAACAACAACAACAGCAACAACAACAACAAAAATAACAACAACAACAACAACAACAAAAACTAAAAAAAAAAAATAAAAAATAAAAAACTAACATACGTGGTCGGGAAGAAAATGCCAAAGTTCTATTCTCTATTGTTGGTGCTGAGAACCCTAGATTCTAATTGGAATGCCAAAATGTTATTTTTATATTACGACCTTCTTTTTAGACGACTTAGATCTAGTATTACCAAAGTTAGAATCTAGTATTTGTACTATCTTTGGTATTACTCATGGTCACGTGAAAGGAAAAGCGTAAAGACTCAAAAGACTAGATTTTATACACAATAAAAAGTGGTACCTTTTAAAGAAAATTTTCGATCGCCAGCACATTGAGTCTATACATACACAAACAAATTACACGCATTTCGTCTTGCACACAATGATGTATACATAAATAAAATACCTCTTCATACATATTGTACACATTAATATCTATGTATAAATGCGCAGGCAAATGTACCCATAAATCTGTACAACATGAACACATACGAACATGTCTGTGGATCGTGAAAAGGTTTTACGTACTGATCAGTGACGTGTACAAAGTGAAAGCCGTTAATCAAGTCCGTCAGACTGTCGCTTAACGCACATTTAATGCTGAAAAATATTGTTCTTACACATACCAGTTCTCTCCGTCTCTTTGCAGCCCCTCCCCCTTTCAAATCCCGTCTCCCC